CTAAAGATTTTGAAATCGGCTGCAAAAATATAAAATGTCACCAATTATATTTCAAATTAATTTGTTTATTTGGTGTTATGCTCTCAGAATAGCATATAATTTTCATTTTCATATATTTAGAATACATTATAGGTTTTCAGTATAGTTTACTGTGAACAAAATTTGTCAATATGGCATCTGAAATATGCGCAAATGTAGACAACAAAAATTTATAACTACAAACATTTAGTGTTTATGAAAAATCAATTCTATAGGGATTGTCGAACAGACAGCTGTGCACACACTGTAAAAATGGTGAGAATCGGTCAGAAATGAAATTTTTGGAACCTGAAGTAATTTGAAATTCTAGTTAAAGATTGAATTGAAGTTATTGACAATGAATAAGGCAGTTCTAATTCATGAATTTACTTGTGTGTTTCAAGCCTTAAACCGTGTAATACATACATACTGTATATGTCAATTGACATAATTTAACACAAGTTTTTAAAACTTGTACAAATACCTTCCTTTTTTTTTTTTTTTTTTAAGATATATACAAGAGTTGTTACATTCTTGTACAGCCACTAGTACGCGTAGCGTTTCGGGCAAGTCCTTAATCCTATGGTCCCTGGAATACGATCCCCTGCCGCGAAGAATCGTTTTTTCATCCAAGTACACATTTTACTGTTGCGTTAAACAGAGGCTACAGTTAAGGAATTGCGCCCAGTAAATCCTCCCCGGCCAGGATACGAACCCATGACATAGCGCTCGCGGAACGCCAGGCGAGTGTCTTACCACTACACCACGGAGACTGCAAATGAAGTAAAGAATAAATAACCCCCAAAGCACAAAATATAGGGATAATTATAATGATTTAGGGGATATATTTAGGGTATACATTATATAAGTGAAAAATCCTAATATGATCCCTAATTATCAAAACAACCAAAAGAGACAAAGAAAATAGGATTTGAAATCGGAGAAAAATCAGCCAAAAAAAAATTAAGTCCAAAGTTCTGGCAGTTATGACTGATTTATTTGTTGGCCAAATTCATTCTATCTTTACATGGTTAGGGAAACATATGTCATCTCCAGGATGTAAACGTTACAACAAAATCAGTTAATAAACAAAGGAGAGAAAAAAAAATTAAAAAAAAAATTGCTAAAAAAAAATATTTTTGGGACATTGATGAAAGTACCATACATTAACATTGAACAATGTATTTATATGATATACAGTATAACTAGAGTATAATAACATAGTTACTCGTTATTATTTGTGTTATTATGTATTATTCAGCATTGATATAAAGACACCAACTGCATATCCACTTTGTGGACACTTCTTACTACTATTCTTCTTTTGAGCGTTGGACAGGTGCTTGAATCTCTTTATTACTGCATTATCCTTCAGTTCCAGTTAATAGGAGCTGTTCTCCTTATCAATGAAACTTTTTTTTTTAAATATTTGTCTGAAATCAATTTCTGAAAATATTTTGATGAAAGTTTCACGACACGAAGCCAATAAGTTGGAGATTTGTTTAACATTTTTACGTAATTCAAATATTTTTCGCTTCTGTGCCCCCTTATGCTGAACAGTTTAATGCTTAAAGATAGTCTTCTGACATTATTATGCCTAGATCCTTTATACTGTGTTAATTTTTATTCTGTTGTGTGATTTGATTCTCTTTTATACTGTATATGGTTTACTTCTTTATTATTTTTGTTTTGTTCCATAATATATTATTAATTTTATCAATTATTCCACTTGAGTGTTAACATACAATTATTAAAACAGAAAACAAGGAACATTCAAAATTTGAAATAAGTATATATAAGCGTTTTAATTAAATGGCCACTCAAGACAATGTATGAGAGGTGATAGTGAAGTATTAATGTAGGTATATAGCCTCTTCATGAATTGTAGTGTGGTATTGGTTAGAAATTAGATGTTATAAAGTTGCAAATCCATATGAATGTTGTCTTGCATGCATTTCTGAGAAATTAATGATTTCTTTTCTTCTTTACAGGGTGACTGTGCCTCCAGCGTGTAGTGCACAATGAGATACGACGACAGAATGAGTGTTTGCTACTATTTATAAATTAATTTATTAATAATGGATAACCTGTCTGGGCTGTTTGGAGATGGAGATCTAAGCGACCTAGACCTGGGGGGCGAGTCTTTTGGCGGCCCCCCAGGCCCGACACCTGTCTCTGTCTCAGAGATGGACCTCAATAGCTTCTCACAACCATCTTATACAAGTATTGGTTCTGGGGCTGGGGGGCCGCCACCACAGGGACCAGGTCAGAAAATAAACATGGGTGGCGGACCCCCTTCCTCAGCACAGTCGATGTACCCGGGCCCTGGAGCTGGTGGAGGGTACCAGTATGCAGTTGCTCCAGGCCAGCAGTCTCCTATGAACCAATACCAAGGGGGTCAGTACCCTTCGTCATACCCTTCACCCAGCCAAGAAATGTATGCCCAAAGACCTGCACAGCCAAACCAGAGTGTCCCCACATGGAGTAACCAGCCAGATCCCTATAATCAGCACTACCAGCAACATCCAAATTATTCACAAACAGGTATGCCACCATATCAGAATCAAGGTATGACCAATAGCAGTATTGGAGGCTCTATGCAACAAAACATTCCACAAAATTACCAGGGTATGGCTCCCCAAAGTATGGGTCAGGGATATCCTCCTGGTTCTCAGGGCATAGTTTTTCAGAGTGCACCAAGACCTTCTTATCCTGGGTATGATCCCCAGAGACCGATGGCTTCCAACTCCCCCAACATTAGTCCCTATCCTGGGGCCTCCCCTGCACCTGGCCAGCCTCAGCAATATGCCATGAGACAGCCATATCAGACAGGACAGTATCCTCAGGGCCAAGTTCCTATTGGGGGGCAGCAGCAGCAGCCGCACCCTGGCCAACCCATAATGGGTGGTCCACGACCTCAGGGTGATATGAACCAATACCCTGGCTCTCAGGTACCAAATGGCACTCCAGGTTATAGAACGCCATTTTCCCAGGCTTCGCCACAAATGTCACCGCATCCACAGCAATCTCCACGGCCTCAGATGTCTCCAATGCCTCGTAGTATGTCGCCACATCCTCGTCCAAATTCCAACCTAGGTATGACGACTCCTGTATCTTCGCCAGCTTCAATGCCCCCGACATCTAGTGTATCACCAGTTCCTGCCTTAGGTAGTGGGCCGGGATCCAGCTTGCAGCAGTTGGAGAATATGGTGAAGCCATCTGTTGTTGCTGGTAGAAACACACCCACCAGCCAACGCTGTACCACTCCTACCCAGCCTATGCAGTCACCGGGACATTATGCTGGATCATCAGGAGTGCCTAGTCCAATGGGTACCAGAGCTCCTATGTCTCCAAGTATGGGTAGTAGACCTCCAATGGGCACTCCTATGAGCCCAGGTCTGGTTCCAGGTTCTACTAGGCCACCAATGTCTCCAGGGTTAGTGCCTGGCTCTACCAGGCCTCCAATGTCTCCTGGTTTAGGACCTGGATCTGTTCGACCTCCCATGTCACCAGGGATAGGGAGTGCACGACCTCCTGTGTCCCCACAGCAATGGCAACAGGCGAGGCCTATGACCCAACAAAGTTATGTACAAGCAGGCAGCTACATGCAAGGCAACTTGACAGGACAAAGGCCTTCTCATCCTATAAGCCAACTCGAGTCTACTATATCATCACAAGGACAAGATTGTGTGTTGCCTGATAGTATTTCTAATGTTAGTGAAGGTAATTTGATTCCTAGCACTAGTACATCAAGTGTGTGTGTATCTCAAAGTAATGGACCAGTGTCAACTCAGTGTGTTAATAGCAATATAGTGAATAGTGCGGTAATTAGTATATCAAACAGTGAATCTATTAGTGAATGTGTTCAGGTGCAGGCATCTTCTGGGTCTCCCACTACATTGACTACATCAACACTTAATGGGCCCACACAAACAATTTCAGTCACACAGCATCAACAGTCCTCAGCACCCACCAACGTGCCTATAACTTCCAGTGCCCCAGGAAGTGTGCCAACAAGTGCCATGTCTCAAAATGGCATGATGTCAAGTACAGTGAATAGTAATGGCATGTCCCCAAATCCAAGGACGCCTAACAGTATGGCTTCAAACAGTCTATCCAGTGTTTCTGGGCCAGTGGGGTTGGCTCCACATGGTCCCCAAGGCCAGGGCATGATCAGGTTTTCTGGTCCTCATGGGCCTCGGGGCCCATATCTTCAGCAACCCATGAGTCAAGCAGGATACAGGATGATGGGGCCAGGAACCTATGGCCCTCAGGGACAAGTGTCACAGAGTCAGATGACACATGTTGGTCCTGGCCAGATGACCTCAAGTGTTTCTGTCCAAGTATCATCAGGTCCTGGGCAGATGCCACTGGTTCAGGTCATGTCAGGTAGTCCTACCCAAATGCATACTACCAGTCCCACTCAGATGCAGCCAGGGGGTCCCACTCAGATGCAGCCAGGGGGTCCCACTCAGATGCAGACAGGGGGTCCCACTCAGATGCAGCCTGGGGGTCCCACTCAGATGCAGCCTGGGGGTCCCACTCAGATGCAGACAGGGGGTCCCACTCAGATGCAGACAGGGGGTCCCACTCAGATGCAGACAGGGGGTCCCACTCAGATGCAGTCTGGGGGTCCCACTCAGATGCAGTCTGGGGGTCCCACTCAGATGCAGTCTGGGGGTCCCACTCAGATGCAGCCTGGGGGTCCCACTCAGATGCAGCCTGGGGGTCCCACTCAGATGCAGCCTGGGGGTCCCACTCAGATGCAGCCTGGGGGTCCCACTCAGATGCAGCCTGGGGGTCCCACTCAGATGCAGCCTGGGGGTCCCACTCAGATGCAGCCTGGGGGTCCCACTCAGATGCAGCCTGGGGGTCCCACTCAGATGCAGCCTGGGGGTCCCACTCAGATGCAGCCTGGGGGTCCCACTCAGATGCAGCCTGGGGGTCCCACTCAGATGCAGCCTGGGGGTCCCACTCAGATGCAGCTGGGGTGTCCCACTCAGACGCAGTCAAGCAGTTCCAGCCAGATGCAGCCTGGGGGTCCCATCCAGATGCAGTCGGGGGGTCCCGTCCAGATGCAGTCGGGGGGTCCCACCCAGATGCAGTTAGGAGGTCCCACACAGATGCAGCCGGGGGGTCCCACTCAGATGCAACCTGGCGGGCCAACTCGGATGCAGGCGAGCTGTCCCACCCAGATTCAGCAAGGGGGTCCCACCCAGATTCAGCAGGGGGGTCCCACCCAGATGCAGCCGGGGGCTCCCACCCAGATGCAGCCGGGGGCTCCCACCCAGATGCAGCCGGGGGGTCCCTCCCAGATGCAGCCGGGGGGTCCCTCCCAGATGCAGCCGGGGGGTCCCTCCCAGATGCAGCCGGGAGGTCCCTCCCAGATGCAGCCGGGGGGTCCCACCCAGATGCAGCCGGGGGGTCCCACCCAGATGCAGCCGGGGGGTCCCACCCAGATGCAGCCGGGGGGTCCCGCCCAGATGCAGCCTGGGGGGCTAACACGAATGCAGCCAGGGGGTCCCACCCAGATGCTGCCGAGTGGCGCGCACCCTGGTGTTTCTGGTCAGATGCAGCATGGGGGACAGATGCAACAATGTGGTCCTGGCCAGTTGCAACATGGCCCCAACCAAATGCAACATGGTGGTCCTGCCCAAATGGTGCATAATGGTTCTGGTCAAATGTCGCATATTGTTCCCAGTCAAATGCAACACAGTAGTCCAAATCAAATGCAAACAGTTGGGCAGTTGACTCCGAGGACACCGGGCCAAATGGCTTCCAGGCCTACTGGCCCTCCTGGACCTGCAAGCCAGGTGACTGTTGGATCCGGTGGACAAATGGCTACGTGTCCCTTGGGTCAGAGGCCCACATGTACACCTGGAAAAGTCCTTTCTGGGGCCAGTGGTCCAATAGCCCCTGTCCCAAGGGGCTCTGTGAGGCAAATGGGACCTGTGATGCGAACTCAAACTCCCATGGGTCCTGGAATGACCACTGGCCCCATGGGAATGACACAAGGTTCTGTAGGAGGGCCTGGCATGGCTCCACAAGCTCCTCATACTATGCAACCTCAGATGAACCTCACCTATGAAACCCAACAATGTCAACAACAACTGCAGCAACTCTACAAAATGCCTCAAAACGTCCAGACTCAGCAAAAGGTAAGTATCTCACTTGGTTCTACACTGATTTTATATATAAGACTAAAAAAATTTATGCAAGACAATATATTTTATTTGAAGGAGTTTTAACCTCAAATGAAGTAGCAATGCATACAGTTTTCTAACCTTGTCATATAAATGTGGGGATGTTGACATTTTTGGAGGAATATGGTGTGCTATGACCTTTTATTGTGAATTAAGAGGGCGTCAGATTGTCAGATTCAAAGTTGTTCAATGTCAACCAATATTATTTGACTAGTTGTATATGAAAAGTGCTTTAATTGTCCCAAGTTTCAGTACTGCAGCATAAATAGAAAGGGAGATTTTTTTTTTTTTTTTTTTTTTTTTTTTTTTTTTTTTTTTTTTTCTCTCTCGACGTTTTTTACACATTTTCAAGTCCACACTTCAGGACACACGTTTCAGATATAATTATTCTGTGACACTTTTCTGACACATTAGCATATAATAAAGGACCTTGAGATATAGAATTTCCAAAACATCTTTAGTTTTCCTAATACAAATGCTCAAAGTTCCCAAATTTTTTTTTGCAAATATGGCATGTTTATTGCTATTATAAAAATCAATAAATGAACTTAGAGAAAAATGAAAACTCTCCAATGTAGAGACATGCCCTTCACATATACTGTGTAAGTTTCATGTAAATTGAATATAAAATGAATCAGTTTTGTAAACGTTTGTGTCAATTGAAAAAAAAAACAGAAATGAATGAAGTCTAAGGTTCTAAAATCTGTGGCTGAGGTTGACTTCAACCAATTTTCTCCAAAATTGGTGTCCTTACAGATAGGCTTACGTACAGTCAGGTGTGTAAGTTTGATGCAAATCGCCCGAAAAAAAATGAAAAAAAAAAAGTAATGATTTTTTTTTTTTTCAATTAAACTAATTATAATATTTGTTTATTATATACTATTGTGATAGCAAAGAGTCATAGCTATGATTTCAGTTGACACTTTTGATTGATAATCGATTTTGACCATTTTGGCATAATTTTCACAACTACTTCAATATTTTTTTCTCCCTTCCTATTTATGCTACGATGCTGAAACTTGGACCAGATGAAACACTTTTCATATAGAACTTGTCAAAAAAGTTTGATTGAAATTAAACGAGTTTTCATTTGTTGCATTTTTAGGGCAAATTGGAAACTGACGCCCCCTTAAAAGATATTAAACTGAATTGGGTTTTACTTGCTCACGATATAAAGCTCTGTAATGCATTGGTTGCAATATCAAAATAAACCAGTTTATGGGATTTAAATGATGAGCCATCTAGAGTGTGTTGGAAGACTTTCCTGTGTGTTACTGTACCTGCATTAAAAACAACCACGAGTCACTAAATCACTGGTTAATAATTGTCATTTACCAAGAACATTAATAATGCAGTCCATCCTCCAGTTTAAATAGTACTTTAAGTATGGCCCATCGCACATATATAGACATAATGGACAGTTAGAAAGTAGAATTTAGTACTGTACTGTTGAATTTGGGCAAACTTTAAAGGGTTATGTATTTGTTGCTAATAAAACCTAACCATCCTGAGAGGCCGACCAGTTATGCCCCTTATGTGTAGTGGGAGTGTTGAAAGGTCTTGCGCGCTTGATGTTTATAGAGTTCTCCCTCAGCATACCTATTGCACCTCTGCTTTTCAAAGGGGCTATTTTGCATATCCTGCCATGCCTACTGGTTTCATATGATGTAATCTCCATGTCCAGCTTTGGAACCAGTTCCTGTAATATTTTCCATGTGTAGAATATTATGTATTTCTTTTGCCTGCACATTAGATTTAGAACTTTTAATGTCCTAACAATTAAGATTCTAGTAGTAAAGAATCCTTGCATGCTCTCTAGCTCAGCAAATCTTCCAGCTCTGAATGAGGCTGTTAGTGTACAATACTATTCCACCCTAGAGAGCAATAGTGTCTTGAAAAGTATCATCATTGGTGTGGCATCCATTGTTTGGAACGTCCTATTTATCTAGCCTGTCATTTTTCTTGCAGTTGTCACAGCTACGTTTTGTTCTTTAAAGGCAAAGGTCTTCCAACATGATTACTCCTTGATCCTTTACATTGCTCTTTTGTTCTATAGTGTGATTAGATTGTTTTATATATGGTTTCCGTTTTTACATTTTCGTTTTTTCCATAGAGCAGGAGCTGGAACTTATTTTCATTTAAATCATTATATTATCTGTAACACCCCTAGTGATAACATCAGGAGCTCCAGGATATTACACAATTCCTAAGTATTGTAGTACAGGTTGATGATAGTGAGTGGTGTCCCAAGGAACATAAAGATGTAGTGCTTTGGAAAAATAGGTGAAATAACAAGAATGTGCCAAGTGACGTAAAAAATTGGTTGAGAAAAAGTTTCCCAAGTGTTCACAGAGCAGACAACAACATTCAAGATGGCCGCCGGTAAGAAGGAAAACAAAACAGAAATAAATTTTGGGGGGTTTAATGAAGAAAGCATTGATATAAGCAGTCTACACAACAAATTGGCAAAATTAGATATTATAGTGAACTATCATGTAGAAATAATCAGCAAATTGGAAGAAAATAATGAGCACTTGAGTAGCAAAGTTTTAGGTCTTGAGGGTTTAGTGAAAGACTTGTGCAAAGACAAGAATCAATTGGAAAGAAATTGCCAAGCCATGGAAGAGGAAAATAAACTTTTAAAACTAAGCTTTGTTTGGAAGAAGTTAAAGCAACTTTAAACATAAACGACTACAATAGGTTAGGTAAGGAAATTCAACAGAAAAAACAGCTTTTGTCAGTACAGTTGAAGGAAATTACACAGGGAATAGAACAGTGCAAGAAAGATATGCAACTCGACTCTGTACAAGTGGTGAAGGAGAAAGAAAAAATAGAAGCAGCAGTAAAGGAAGCCAAACACTGCAGCAACCAGGATAAAACAAACATTAGGCTGGAGATGAGAAAGGAACTGGCATCTAACCCGAAGTTGGTGAAAAACACAGTTGATCGAAGTAAGTCCCTGACAGTTTTTGGTTGCAAAGAAAAGGAGATAACATCTTGGTCAGAAAGAGCTGTAGAAGAAGTGAAAGTAGTAGATAAAATTGTTGGCCTCATGGAAGGTCTTGCTACCATGGAGAATGTCTGCAACTACAGTAGGATTGGAGAGTACGTAAAAAGGAAAGATCGACTTTTGGGGATCACCCTAAATGGTTCCAAACAGATGGAAGAAGTACTAAGGAATGTTAGAATATTACAAAGTGATGAGGAAGGGGGAAAGTATGGTCGTTAAGACGAGATCTTTCAAAGGAAGACAGAGAAGCTATAACTGAACCTCGTCGAGGCAAAACGGCTAAATGAGAGCAGGAATGAAGAAGAAATAAATTCATTTTTCTACAAAGTGATGGGGGGGGGGTAGGCAGACCAGTAAAATGGTACAAAAAGACAAACCAACAAAATCATTAGAGAGAGGAGAAATATGTTCCTGCAAATTGCATACACCAACATAGATGGAGTGAGATCAAAGATACTGGAGTTAAGTGATGTAATACAGCTGCAGACACCAGACATTGTTGCACTCAGAGACAAAACTTGATGATATTTTCAATGAGGTCATATTCCCAAGGGGCAACACAGTCTGGAGACGGGACAGAAAAATTAGGAAAGGCGGTGGAATTGCTGTGCTGGTGAAACAACACCTAAAGGTAAGTGAATTAATGATTGCCAATCCACGAGAAGTTGACATAATAGCACTAGAGATCTGCAATCAGGATGATAAACTAATGATCATAAATGCATATAGTCCACCACCATGCAACACATGGTCAGAGGAGGAGCTGGATAATAAACGAGTGGATCTTATAACAATAATGAGAGAGATTATAGCGAGAGCTGATAGAAATAGATCACGACTGTTGGTACTCGGTGACTTCAACTTGAAATCCATAGACTGGGAGGCATATGAAGCTAGAACAGAGGATTTTTGGACTTGTAGATTTGTAAACCTCATCCTGGAAACAGTCATGTTTCAACATGTAAAACAAGCTACAAGGATGAGGGAAGGGGATGTTCCCTCCGTGCTGGATTTGATATTTACCAGGAAAGAGGAAGAGAGATTTGACATTCAGTACCTCCCTCCCTTGGGTAAAATTGACCAAGTCATTTGGGAATAAGTATGCAATGCGTTATAATCTGGAAGAAAATGAGGTTGAAGCAGTTGAAAAGCCTGATTTCAGAAGAGGTCATTATGGGGAACTCAGACATTTCTTTAACCCCTTAACTGCGTTGCCTCCAAATGTGACACCCCCGCAGTGCGCAGGAAATAAATTCTCTGGAAAAAATTCTTTTTTCTCTTTAAAGTGTCAAAAACCCTTCCCTCAGTATGGGTATGTAAAAAAAAAAGTCGAAATTGTACTTACTTTGGCTGCTATGGGGTCCGGAAGTTGGGGCGTGACGTCATCATTCCCCGTGCGCTCGTGCCGTAAGCTCTCGGGGGCGGTGGGGCGCTCGGGGCGGGGCGCGTGAGTTGCCGCGAATATATTTTCGTTCATTTTTTGCGCACCTTTCCAAATACATTTTCATTGTTTTTATGTGCCAATCCAATGTATAATGAACACGTACACTATAATATCGCAGTACAACATCCGTACTGTCCGTAGACACTGTGTTACGTGCATGAAACTTGTGTACACATATGCAGCACATATTTACTATGTATCATGCTAATTTGTGTATATATACAATCTATTTACACACTATACACTGTCACACACTATATACATTCACTATCAACACATTCAGAACACCGTGTAGCAGCTGCTTCGTATGGGCCAATAGCAGCTGCCTCGTATGGGCCAATAGCAGCTGCCTCGTATGGGCCAATAGCAGCTGCCTCGTATGGGCCAATAGCAGCTGCCTCGTATGGGCCAATAGCAGCTGCCTCGTATGGGCCAATAGCAGCTGCCTCGTATGGGCCAATAGCAGCTGCCTCGTATGGGCCAATAGCAGCTGCCTCGTAT